TAGCTACTGACAGTGGTGTCTGGAAATTAAAGAGAAAAACCTGATATTATATATATATATATATATATATATATATATATATATATATATATATCACTGTCCTCCCGTTGTTCATCGATTTGCTCGAGCGGGCCCAGTAACGTCTCCATTGGAGACTTTGTTTTTACTGTGTTTGGCATATCGAATACATCACGGGTAGCTTGCCAGGCTCTGCCGTGCGGGCGAGATACTCTTGGTAGCTTGCCGGGCTCTCCGAGAGGGGAGGAGGAATCGAACTTGGGTCGGCCATGTTGGTTGTATGCAAGGCTAATGCCCTACTGCTGTGCTATAGCTCTCTCTCTCTCTCTCTCTCTCTCTCTCTCTCTCTATATATATATATATATATATATATATATATATATATATCCACACACACATATGCACATATGGCTGGAGCGATAGCACAGCAGGTAGAAAGTTTACCTTGCATGTGGTCGACCCGGGTTCGATTCCTCCATCCCTCTCAGAGATCCCAGCAAGCTACTGAGAGTATCCCACCCACACAGCAGAACCTGGCAAGCTCCCTGTGGCGTCTTCGATATGCCAAAAACAGTAACAATAAGTCTCACAATGGAAATGTTACTGGTGCCCGCTGGAGCAAATTGATGAACAATGGGATGACAGTGCTACATTGCAGTGCTATGTATGTATATATACACATACACACACACATATATGTTTGTCTATGTGTGTGTATACACACAGACATTTAAATATCCCAGAATTTATAATGCCATTGACTTATTTTTTAAAGTTTATTTATTTATTTATTTTCAATGGAATCACAGTGAGGTACAGTTACAAAGTTGTTCCTTATTGGATTCCAGTTCCTTATTGGATTTCAATCATATAATATTCTAACACCCATCCCTTCAACAGTGTACATTTTCCACCACCAATAGTGTCCCCAGATTCCCTAGTCCCCCCCCTCCTGCTCTATGGCAGGCATCTCTCTCTCTCTCTCTCTCTCTCTCTCTCTCTCTCCCTCTCTCTCTCTTTCTCTGCCTGTCTCTGTCTGTCTCTGTCTCTCTGTTTCTCTCTGTCTCTATCTCTCTTTCTCTTTCTCTCCCTCATCCGCTTTTGGGAATTATGGTTTGCAATACAGATACTGAAAGGTTTTCATGTATATTCTTTTACTTACTTACTTTACTTACTTACTGGACAAGCACTCAGTTCTTGTCCAGAGTGATCATTTCTAACTATCATTGTCATAGTGGTTATCCTTACTTTTTAAAAAAGAATTCTCAGACAGAAGTAGTTTATCACACTACATTTCTTAAGTCCTGTCAGAAAATGCCTTTGCTGTCACTTCTATGCCTCTACTAAATTTAGCTCCTTCGATTACTCTCTGGAAACACCGATTTCAAACTTGCTCAATCTGGGGAAATTAAATCAAGGGTATCTGGAGATATTTTGGTTTAGGGGTTTGAATTCCTGTTGTGGCAGTCCATGATTTCCTGTGTCATGCAGTGGTGTTCTTGAAAGCATGACTTCAATTGGGAAACTCTACTGCTTCAAGGGTGTTGGACTATGGTTCTAAATATTTTAGGTTTAATATTGGTTAATCCTTTCTCTTCTTCTCTGCCCCAAGGAGTTAAGGTTTATTGAGTGACACCTATCACAGTGCTCCCAAAGCACTCCCATTTTCTTGGTATTTATCTTTAACTTCTCCTTTGTGCTCTAATTCCCCTATCTATTAATCACTCATTTTCCCTAATCAGACCATGTGACTTGTAAAGTCAAATTCTTCAGAAGATTCTGGATTTTGTATTTGTAAGTGAAATATTGCTTTTCTCTTTCCTTTATTTCATTTGTAGTTTACTTTAGAGCAATGTCCTTTTGGCAAGGGAAGATAGTTGATGCTATGCTCTTGGCTCTTGTTACTTGCAAGTTAATTGACTCCGAATAATATTTACTCCTGGGCATCGGTTATATTTACTGGACTTAAGCTTCAGTTGCTCTTAGTTCCTAGCACCGCTAAAGGAGGATTCCAACATGGGAGTTGGATGGACCCAAGGCAAGCTATAAGCTACGCAGCCATTGAAAAGGGACAGGCCAAGTCCCATAAAACTATAATAAGTTAAGAGCATGGTCATGGACAAACTCTGTCATGACCCCAAAAAAGTAACTGGATAAGACCATGATGGAGTTAGCAAGGACCTGGCCTGAGGACTGTAGTCTGGGATGTACAGAGAGATGTCCCCAGGAGAGCTGCCCTTTAAGCTTAATACATCTCTTATTGTGTCCATACAAAATGCCCAGAAAGATTATTAACAAGTAAATTTAATTAGATTGTTTAAATGGGTTTGGACTAAGGAAAGGAGAAATATACCGTTAGATAGAATTCTTCCCTTGGGTGGATATCCTAGCAGGATGAGATTTTGTCCTAGAAGAAACTTCCCCTGAAGAAAGGGCTTTATGTATGTTGACTGTGCTACCACACCTATGTGTAACTACTACCCCCCAGCTTTATGTTTCTTCTCTTAACTAATGCTGGGAGATTGGAATAGAGGAATGTGACACTGGAATGAGAGGAGTGTGAGTCTGGTATGGGGACAGAGATTGGAATAAATTGCGACTTATCACCAACTAACTGGCCCCTTGCTGCAGTCATCAGGGGGGTAGTGGGGGAGGAGGGGAGGGAGAGACAGCTTATAGCCACCAAACTCACAAAGGGCAGGATGGATATTCCATGTTCAATTTCTAATCTGTACTGGAAAGAGACTTCCTTGTTTTTCTTCTCCGTTCCATCTTCCTCTTTCCCTTTTCTTCTCTTGCATCTTCCCTCTCTCACTTTCTCCCTTCTTTTCCCTTTACAGAACTCTTTTTATCCTCCTTCTTGTATGGTCATACATACTCATACTCAAGTGCACTATTTTTTTTAATCTCTATCAGTGTTGTACTGTGTCCCCCTTTAGTTCTCTTTCTGGATGTCTCTTTTAGGATCGAAATGTTTATTCTTTCATGGTTTACAGTATCCCAACATTATCATCTGACCCTTGCAAAGTTCTGGGAAAAAGCACAATTTTCTAGGAATTATGGCAGTACGAGAATCCTCCCTTACTTTCTTGATGTAATCTACCTAGAGTTTATAAGTATGTAAAAGGCTGTCTGTAGCAACATATGTCTCATCTTGGCATGTGCTATCTAATATGGTAGCTCCTGATTACTAGTAGCTAGTAATCATGAGAGATATGACCAGAGTGATACAGAGACCATATTTTGAATACATTGGGTTAATACATTAATTATTTAGTGTATTACTAAAATAATTATACCTTTTTTTGGTTAAGTTGACTACTAGCAAAAATGAAAATTTTAATTTGTTTTTTTTTTTGCTTTTTGGGTCACACCCGACGGTGCACAGGGGTTACTCCTGGCTCTGCACTCAGAAATTACTCCTGGCAGTGCTCAGGGGACCATATGGGCTGCTGGGAATCGAACCCGGGTCTGCCGTGTGCAAGGCAAATGCCCTACCCACTGAGCTATCTCTCCAGCCCCCAAAATAAAATTTTTATAGCTTCTTACTATGTTTATTTTGTAACAATTCAGTATCATCAGCTATAGTCATAATGTTATACATTATATCTGTAGAATTTATTAATCTAATAGGTAAAAGATTGTCCCCTTTACCAACCTCTCACTATTTTTCTAATCCTTCAACCATTGGTAAGCACTATTTTACTCTCTTTCCATAAATTAGACTTTATTCTTGGATTCCACTATGAGTTATATTATGCACTTCCTCATGCTGTATTTATTTTGGACAGGGCTGACCTAGGTTTTAAAATATAGATGAATCCATAAATTAAAAAAGAAACATGATTCCCTATCCAGCTCTTTTGTACCTGGAAAAATCATAATATTTCTTATACTTTCATTTTCTGAATTTAGTCCTAATCCTTTCTTCAGCCATCAAATCTCTTGTTTCGTCGATTCATGGAACTTTTAAAAAATATATAACAGTGATAATATTTTCCCAGATATACTATAATATTGGTTTTTGGTTTACAAGTCTCTTTTCAAAATATTGCTTTCGTGAACTATACAAAGCTTCGGGGACAAGAAACAGCTTAGGGAATTCATAGCTGTAAAACCAGTTTTGCTAGAAGCATTAAAGGAGCTTCTTTAAAAGACAAGACAAACTTCTCAGCACTTCACCACTGAGTATGGCATTAGCTCATAGTGCTTATGATTGCCCTCTGCTAGATTAAGAAATGTCTGTTTATTTCTAGCTAGCTAAGGGTTTTTTCCTAGCTAGCTAAGGGTTTTATACCTTCTAAATAATGAAGTACTGTTTCATTTATTTTGAATGTATTTTTTTATGTTTGTTCAGGTATTTTTTTTATATCTATAGAGATTTTCCTCTTACTAATGCAAATACTTAGACATTATTTCTAATGTAATATTTTCTAACATAAAATCAACATTACCTTTTTAGGATCAAACATACTTCTATACTTTTATATGCCTATTCAGATTTTACTTAATTTTTTTAAAATTCTCTCCTCACTCTTACTAAATTGTTTATTTCTAGGGTTTATCTAATTCATCATTGTCACTGTCATTGTCCTCCCGTTGTTCATCAATTTGCTCGAGCAGGCCCAGTAACGTCTCCATTTTAAGACTTGCTGTTACTGTTGTTTGGCATATTGAATTGCTGTTACAATATGTTTGGCATATTGTATACGTCACGGGTAGCTTGCCAGGCTTTGCCGTGTGGGCGGGATACTCTTGGTAGATTGCCGGGCTTTCCAAGAGGGGCGGAGGAATCAAACCCGGCTCGGCCAGACTGACTGCGCGTAAGGCAAATGCCCTACTGCTGTGCTATCGCTCCAGCCCTTAATCTTAAAATTTGCTGGCATAGAATTAGTCATACCATGAAATGTTTACTGTACATACCTGTAAAAATTATATTTCGGGGAAATTTTTTCAAACTTATCCATTAAAAGTTGTGTGGAATACTTACCTAGCAGGGGAGAAAACATGATTATAAAGTTGGTTTCCCAGGGCAAGACTTATTCATTGCACTTTGGATGTGCTAACCCCCTACAATTTCCCCAAATATGGGAAACTCAGGTGCAGAATTTGTGGTAGCGGTAGACTATATTTGCACTCTCCTCTAACAAAAACAATTAAAAAACTAAATTGTGTGGAATTATAGGAATTTAGCTTTATTCATCTATATGTAGGTGAATTCATCTCCATAATTAAAAAATATGTCTCTCATATGTGGGATATAAATAATCATAGTAAGAGAACAACCGATAACAGAGGGCACCAGAACTTGAGATTTTGTCTATAGAACTCAGCTTACCTGTGGGGAGAAGGCAGATGGGAAGGGTCCTTGGGACACTGGTGGAGGGAAGTGAATGGGCACTCTTAATGTATGTGATGTTGGAACAGTGTGCGCATGAAAAGTACAATTAACACTGTTGTAAATCATGCACACAAAATAAATATGTTAATATATGAAAACAAAAGGAAAATATTGCCTTCTTAGTCAGAAAAACATTGATTGTCCAACAATTTCCTCATCATGCATATAACACATACAGGATTCATTCTTAAATGTGTTGCTCTGCTCTTTTCTCTCTGAAGAAACTAGTATAGTCTTTATTTTTATTAATTATCTGTTTCCCCCTGGGCTGAAGTGATAGCATAGCTGGTAGGGCGTTTGCCTTGCACGCAGCCAGCCCAGCTGAGCAGAGTTTGATTCCTCTGCCCCTCTTGGAGAGCCCGGCAAGCTACTGAGAGTATCTTGCCCACATGGCAAAGCCTGACAAGCTCCCCGTGACATATTCAATATGCCAAACACAGTAACAACAAGTTTCAAAATGGAGACGTTACTGGGCCTGCTTGAGCAAATCGATGAACAATGGGAGGACAGTGACAGTGACAGTGATCTGTTTCCCCATGTCCCTACCTTTTCTTCTTTGAACTATATTGGTACTTAAGGCCACATGAATACAGTGACTTTGTCTATTTAGTGAAGTGCAGTTTTACTAAGTGTCTGGAATATCATAGATGCTCAATGAATCATAGTTTGAGTGAGCCATCTTCCTAGTTTTATACATACTTATTTCATAACCAACAAGAACAATCCAGAATGATACTTCAAGCCAAACATGGCTCTTGAGCACTTGAAATGTGGCAACTCCAAATTAAGATGTGCTGGAGTTGCAAAATACTTATACTAGATTTTAAGTTTAAATAACAAACAGCAACGTTAAACCTTGTGATTGAAGTTTCTCCTGTCAATTTTCCTTTTTAATGTGAATTGTACTGACAGTTAAGATAAGTTTAGTGAAGCATATTTCTGACATTCATTTTATTTAAATAGTCAATGTGTTCATAAAAAAAATCTAAAGATTCTTTCCTTACCTCGCCACCTCAATCTGCCCCCCCTCCAATTACTGCCTTTTAACCATCTTGGTGCAGTGTTGGCTGATCTTGTTGTGGTTAAAAATTTCAGTGAAATTTCAAAATTTTGTAGTTACTCCATTTTAAATGGAACAGTTTTGTTTTCTTTTTCTTTTTTCTTTTCTTTTTTTTTTTTAGTTGGAAACCCTTATGGCCTGGGTTAATTTTTCAGAAACTTAGCATTTGCTCTTACTAGGCTTTCTAGGCTATTAGGATGATACCAGAAGCCCAGCTCAGATGTCTGCTTGCCTCCCTCCCCTCCCCTCCCTTCCTGTCCCCTCCCCTCCCTTTCCCTTCCCTCCCCCTTCCCTCCCCCTCTCTAATTTTGGGGCCACTTACTCAGGGCTTAGTCCTGACTCTGCACTCAAAGATTACTCTTGGCAGTGATCATATATTGTACTGGGGATCAAACTGGGGTTGCCTACATGCAAGGCAAGTGCCCTACCCATTGTATATTCTTGTGGCTCTGTTTATGGTTCTTTATTGTCTTCTTGGATCCTAGAATGCTAATTTTAGAGTTCTGAAATTATTTCTACTTGTTCCTACTTGGGTTCCTATCCTAGGGAACAAATATCTCAATCAACAAGTCTCTGAATATTTGTTGTCATCTCACTGGATAAGTATGTGGAACATTTTTATATCCATTTACTAGGATTCTAGACTGTTAAAGTCTTAACCCTATTTCTAGTTTCCAATCCCTGTGTAGAATCATGAGTGGTCAAATCTTTTATCACTTGTGCCTCTATGTTTATAAACATCAAGACTGTGCTATTATTGCTATTTGTTTTGTGTTTGGGGCCACACTCATCAGTGCTCCTGGGCTACTTCAGCCTTTGTTCTCTCAAATCGCCCCTGGTGGTACTCAGAGGAACATATATATAGTGCTGGGGAATCAACCCTATTCTTCTGTTGTTGAACAAGTAAAATATTCTGCATTGCAGCAAAATTAGCATGTGCTCTTGGAAATCTGACTCTCAGGAACCTCTTTGTTCTGATTCCTGGAAGTTCACATTTTTTGTATGTCAGCTATATATATAAATTTATTATGTTTAAAAATTTATTGTGTTTATTCAACATCACTAGGTTTTATAGGGTCTTTCTGTCCAAGCCATGTAAATCATTTTATTGGAATTTGTCATCTATCATAATTTCTTTTATTTTTTCACTGTTGATAGATGGTAGAATATTTCTAGATATTCAATATATTAAATATTCTGTTATGAACATCCTTACATGTAGATTATTTAATGTATGCTCTTATGGACAGTTTGTATTTTTATGTAAGGATAAGTTCTTAGAAATAAAATTGTTGAATCCAAAGATGTGAACATAAAACATTGTCTTACTGAAAAATGAGCTGATACATGGATCAATGAAACAGAATAGAAAATTCAAAATTAAGACCTTTTCAATTAATTGTATTGGAATGATTGTGTCTCCATACATTAAAAAAATAAACTACAATATAGACCTCACTTCTGATACCAAAGTTAACTCAAAGTAAATATTAGATTTTAATGTAAACTATAACACTGTTAAACATCTTTTTAAAGAAAATATATTTATTGAATCACCATGAGAACAGTTACAAAGCTTTCAGGTTTAAGTTTGGTCATACAATGATCAAACACTTTTCCCTTCACCAGTAATTATTTTTCACCACCAAGAACCCCAATATACCCCCATCCCACCCCTCCCATGCCTGTGAGGCAGATGATTTCCTCTTAACTCTCTCTCTACTTTGATTACATTCATTATTTTGACAAAAGATGAACCATTATTGAAATTTTCCCCCAACAATCAAACCTGCTGAAAACGCATCATGAAATAATTTGTTTTCTATTGCTGTTTATGAAGACAATATGATTTTGGATTTCTGATATTTTACTAATTAAGTCTGGAGGGATTTCTGCCAAAAACCGCATAGTTCCAAGGTTCATTTGTATGCCTCTGGGATCATGGCCGTGCCGGAGAGCTGCTCGTGGGGGGCAACTCGCGGTTTTGGCAGGGCGAGAAGGATGTGCCGGTTCTGCCCCCCCCCCCCCCCCCATCCCACGAGGCCACAGTTTCCCCTGTCACTGCCGGCTCATACCCGGCTGTTCAATAAGCTCTGAGGCAGCGGCCACTGTGCCTTCAGGGGGGCAGGGGAAGGTAGAACAGATAGACACCCTTTACCTCCCGGGGGGGGGGGGGGGTGGGCACAGCACCATCCCTTAATGCATAGTCCACTCACATTTCTGCCAGAAGCTGCTGGGTTCCGAATTAGGTCCGTGTGCCTCTAGGGCCATGGCTGTGCTGCAGATCTGCTTGTGGGGGGCCAAAACTGTTAAACTCTTATAGGAAAACCTCGAAAATATTTATAACTTAGATTAAGTAGTAGTCTTAGATACAAGACCAAAAGCACAGTCGATAAGTGAAAAAAAACAAATTAATTTTTACCGAAGACTTTTGCTTTGTGAGGGAATTTATTAAGATAATGAGAAGACAAACCACTAAGAAATATTTACAAATATCTTTCCAACATATAATTTCTATCACAAGTATATTAAAAATTCTTTGAAATTTTGGACTGGAGAGATAGTACAGAGGGTAGAGTGGGTGATTGCCTTGCATGTGGCCAACCTGGGTTCTATCTTCCACATTCAATAAGCACTGCCGGGTGTGGCACCAAACACAATAAAACAAGAAACTCTTTAAATTTAATAGAAGAAAAAAAGTAAAATAGAATTTACAGGACTGGTTAAAAAAAACTAAAAGTAAACTCAAATAGAAATAAACATGACTACTTTTCAAGTGAATAACTGCAGAACAGGACAAGAAAAAACTAATCAAAATAAATTTGAGCACAATACTGTGACTATATGCCCTCAATCTAAATACAAAAAGCAATCTTGAACTCTTCAATGTAAGTTTGTTTTGTGGATATAGCAATTCTGAAACTATTTCATATGTATTTTATAAATGAAAATAACAATATATTGATGGTTTAAGAAGCCAGGTTTCTTACTGTGGGATAAAAGAAATAAAAAATGAATTGGCAGAATGAAAAACAAAACCAAACTTTAAAAAAATGATGTCATTAGGTTTGAGTCAGAAACATCAATTTTCATCATTAGTGCACGGATCCTCCATCCTGGGGATGGATGCCTGTCTTCCACAAGCATCTCCACTGCTCTTGGAGAGCCCGACAAGCTACCGAAAGTATCCTGCCTGCATGGCAGAGACTGGCAAGCTACCCGTCACATATTTGATATGCCAAAAATAATAACAACAAGTCTCACAATGGCGACATTACTGGTACCCGCTCAAGCAAATCGATGAACAATGGGAGGACAGTGCTACAGTGCACAGATCTTGGTTTCTAAATACCACTCCATATATTTGTGTGTGTGGTGAGGGTGGGAGGGGGAGTGGTGGTTGGGGCCACACTCAGCAGTGCTCAGGGCTTATTACGGTCTCTGTGCTCAGGAATCACTCCTGGCATTCTCAGAAGACAGTATAGGGTGCTGGGGATCAAACCCAGGTCTGCTGGGTTTGATCCACAAGGCAAGTGCCCCTCCCCACTGTACTATCTCTTTGTCTACCATTCCATATTAAAAGAAGGAAATGGCTTGTCCCAGGACTTGGACAAGGAAAACACAAGATGCATCTGGATCATCTTTTTGTACCTTAAAATAAGGAAACACCCAAAGCAGAGAAT